ATGGTGCTTTCTTAGAGAGCTTAGTGATTTCTTGTGAGAGCTGGGTGCATATTTCTCAGATAGTGGTTCGCTCTCCCACTGATTTTCAAAAATCCTCTCCTTGTATACCTTGGATGACATATCAATTTTCTTAGAATAGCATTAGTCCGAGGTTGTCAAAACCGTCAGATTTAAATTCAGCTTTTCTGATGAAGGGTCTAGGCCCGAAACGTCAGCCTCTCTGCTCCTATGATGCTGCTTGGCCTGCTGTGTTCATCCAGCCCTGCACCTTGTTGTCTCGGATTCTCCAGCATCTGCAGTTCCTACTATCTCAAACCTCATATGCTGATGTTTTATAACTGTTTACCTGCAGCTAGAGTGTAGTTACTTGTAATAAATAGTAATTCTTGTTCAATGCAGCAACTAGTCCATGATTTCTATCAATCTAGGTCTGAAAGTCAGGTAAATCAGGAACCTTGTGTCTTTTTAAAAATCTTGAACATCTTTTTGATGACTCTGGGAATAGCAGTGATTGATTTCCAGTCTGCAACCCCAGAAATGCATTCAACTGCACATTATTACATATTTTACAAACTGTCAAACTAGAAACATAGCAATTTTAACTCTGTCTGAATAGAACTGTTGTTTTGCTCCAAAGGTTAATAATCTGTTGCACTTTTCTTGTGTTAGACTGAGACGAAAAAAGTACTCAATTTACGCATTTATCCAGATACTCTTCTGGAGGGAGAAGAGTGGTATGCGATTCGACTCGTATCTGCCACTGATGATGCAGAAATATCCCCTATATATGGTAAGTCAGTTTCTTTTGGTATCAAAAAATTAACAGAAATTATAAGCAAAAATAGAAAATTAAAGGAAAAGACTGGAAATTGCATGGAGTCAACTCTCTCTCTATCTCTCTGTCTCTCTCTCTCTCTCTCGCTCTCTCTCTCGCTCTCATTGTCTGTCTGTTTCTTTCTCTTCTCACACCCCCAAGCCTTCTCAAGCTGCCAGATGATATGATTGGCTGGGAGCTCCTGTAGTCCCTGTTGCACCACATTTCCCTGTTGTCTGCTGCATAGTGGCAGGCCCATAAAGACACAATGCAGACTCGAGGAAGTCAAATCCAGGGACTTTGGGCAGAGAATGGATTTTGGTTCAGTGAAGAAGGGGCAAGGTGGGTGACCAACTGGGTTTAATACTGCAGAGGGTAAGAAGAAAGGGTGCCCCTGATGGGCAAGCTGCACCACTCAATGTATATTAGGTGCTCCCTTGCCCAAAATACACCTAGCAAGGACTTGTGATATCCAAGGTCTTCTTCTGGGCTTTACATTTACAAAACTAAATTTTCTCTGTTATTCATCTGACAAGACAGAAAGACTGTTTCTCCCACAGGAAGTGCAACTGTAATTATTTTGGGTGACAGTGCATCATCTGGGATGATTGCCGTAGCTGAATCAACAAAGCAGGTTCTAATTGGAGAACCAGTCAGCGGCTACAATGGGACTGCATTTGTAACGTAAGTGGCATTTATTTACAAAATCATTTTTGTAGTGACCATTACAATTAACAGATAAATTAATTCTATTTTTTTGTTTAAAGCAACGGTTGCATGTTGTTGAGATGGCTGTTATGTTTCTTTTCAACAGTTTTTAAGTGCAGTTCCTGAAGGTCCAGTTTACAATGTTTATTGATGTTAGGTCTGTCTTACTGGAGATATCTGATGCAATTGGGGCAGCTATTTACAGGTGCACATCCCCATATTTTCAAATTATTTCTTATTGGTGAAAAATGCATTGAAACAAATTTAGATTTTATTGTGCGCACTTGCATGGGCTTTTTTTAATATATAAGCAGTGATCACAGCATGCACACTTATTTGTTCCAAAACAAACTTGCCTTTGTAGGGACCACTGAGAGAAAACATAATGTCACATATGTGCCCATCCACCATCTTCACAATAGAAAAATGACAATTTACTAGTTAAAAGGGACAACTTCATCTTTATATAATATTCATTCATATTCGTTCTATTACCAGATTCAAACAGTGTAATTTTGTGTCATAAGATATTTAATACTTTTTTACTTTCCTACAGATTAGTACGTGGTCCAGGAATTTTTGGTGAAGTTACAGTTAACTGGATTATAACTCCAGCAGATCTGAATGAATTTGTTGAAACAGGTGGAGCCCTTTTAATGCGTGACAGGCAGGTGTCGGCCACCATTTTGATACAGGTGCAAGGAATTGAATACATTTTGAAATAATTCAGACCAAGAAGTTTCAATTGTTACTTGCTAGGGAATTAGCTGTGTTTTGTTGATCTGACAGTAAAACTGCCACAGTTTTCCTCAGCACTCTTTATTAAAGAGTGTTGGGGATGGCGATCAGGAATGGTCAGGTTTGCAGCTTCTGTTCATTATCACAAGAACACAAGATACTTTAGGATGTTTTCAGTACAGCACAAATAGTTACTGTGTAAAATAATTATTAATACCTAAAATTTAATATCACAAGTTTTCAGCTTGTCGAGTATAATATATTTTACTAATGTCGGCTCACCAATGTCCTTTAGGGAAGGAAACTGCCATCTTTACCTGGTCTTGTCTGCATGTAACTCCAGACCCAGAACAATGTGGTTGACTCTTAAACTGCCCCCTGGGCAATTGGGAATGGGCAATAAATGCTGGCCCAGCCAGTGGCGCCCTCATCCCGTGAATGAATTAAAAAAATATATTATGTCTGGATACAAACATGTTTGTAGTACATTTTTAAAATGCTGGATGCAGTCAGTGCATCATTCACTGTTTTAAAGAGAGCAAGTGCATCAGAGTTTCAGAACTAATTAATACTGAAGATGAAGAAAATAAAAAAAAAAGAACTGTATTAGGGGAAGGGACAGATTTAAATAAACCAAGTGAAAATATCAAATGCCCTGTAAAATGCTTAAGTGGAGCATTGAAGCTATTAATTAGCTGGAACAATATTAATATAAATATAAATCAATAGCAAACATGATGAGAGAAATTGAAGATATTTATGAGACACAGAATGTTTAAAAGTTGAAGGTGGCAATTTGTGAAGCAAAGAGAACTGAAAGCAATACAAATAAAACTGAGTCAACAGCAAGTGGAAATAATGTTCTACACAGTGTTTCCAAGGAGGGTCTCCACTCATTGAATCACTACACAAAACCCCCTGAAAGACTTGCCTTGTCCTGATTATGACACTAATTCACATTTTAGTTTTATCTCAGAATTGTTTTTAAGTTTTTGTGATTTCCCTCATTGTACCTAGTTTTGTTTCATGTTAATATTACGTAAAGCCATTAAAGGTTTCTTCTTTCATTTAAGCACTTTATAAGTAAGTTTTGCTTGAATATGTGTGTGTTTATTTTCTTCTTCCCTCGTGCCTTTGTTCTAGTCACAGAATCAGAACAGCGCAGAAGGAAGCCATTCAACCTGTCATGCCCACACCAACACTGCAGTGAGAATTATGACTTAGTGTCTTTCTCTCATACACTTGCACATAGTTTTTATTTGAATAATCATCAATTTCCCTTGTGAATGCCTCGATTGACTCTGTCTCCATCACACTTCAAGACAGTGCATTGACCTGGGCCACTTGTGTGAAAAATACATTTTTTTCAAATTCATATTTACTATGTTTGCAGATAACTTTAAGTCTGTGTCCTCTTGTTCTCAATCTTTCCACTCTGTTGGAACAATTTCTCTATCCTCTATTCAGACCTCTCAAGATTTTGAAAACTTCTGTCAGATCTTACCAAATTCTCTAATCTTTTCTCATAACTGAAGTTTCTCATCCGTGAAACCATTTTTGTAAATCTCTGCTATACTCTCTCCAATACTCTCAGATCCTTCCTGTGGTGTGGCATCGAGAGCTGTACACAATACTCCAGCTAAGATCTAACAAGCGTCTTGTGCAAATTCAGCAAAGCCTCCTTTCTGTCATACTCTCTGCCCATATTAATAAAGTCCCTGAATGCTGTTAACTGCTTTCTCTGCCTTCTACCTTCAATGATTTACATACTAAACTCTCAAGTCCCACTGCTCCTGCATCCCCTTAGAACTGTACTCCTATTTTATATTGTCCATTCATGTTCTTAATTCCAGAGTGTATTACATCACACATTTCTTTTGAAATCCTCTTGATTTGAGATCTGTTCCATTTCTGGAATAAGGTCCATAAGTGAACCAGTAATTCTTCTGTTCTCTCTTTAGAAACCAGTGACCTATTGTGCACTTTTAGCATATTTTCTTTTATTTGTCAAAGGATTTTTGTTATCTCCAGTTTGTCGCAATTTGCATACATTTTTAAATTTGACCTGGATCAGATGTTCAGTTTGTAATGTAGAACTACTTTTGCTGATCAGGCAGTGGATGATGATATTCCTGAAGAGAAACAATATTATCAACTCCAGCTGACTGGTGTCAGTGGTGGTGCTGTGATTAACGACACATCAGACTCTGCTAACATCACCATGGCGGCCAGTGACTTTCCATATGGTCAATTTGCATTCTTGAATGAACGTCTTGAAACCTTTGAGAATGGAGAACAGGTGCTAAAATTCTTAAATATATTTATAACGTTTTGAAGTAAATGGTGTTTGTTACCTTGAATCAGCTCATGATAATGATTTGCGTAACATCAAAATATATATATCTTACAAGTCAGTGATTTAAGACTTATTAGACATACTTGCAATATGAAAAGGGGTGGTATGAACTACTTTATGAAGAACACAGGGTTAAAAGAAACAAAAAACAAAAAGAGTTAAGGAAAGGATGCTAAGATAGTGTTGTAAAAATATAAAATATTTAATATTTTTCATATTTTCATGAAACAAAAATGCTTCAACAGTGTTTTTGGATTAGTTGTTTGTCTCAGTAGCATTAGTTTAATTCATTTTAATCTCCCAATTAAGCTAATGAAGAATACACATTGGTGGTTTCTTCTCCTGTGCCGTCACTTTTATTCCCACAAAACCCTTAATTACCCAACTTTTCTGTCTAACCACAATATTACCAGATATTATTAACTGTTCCTGTTTCACAGGTACTGTGCCTTTCCCCTTCATATGTAATTTCAACACTTCTTTCAAAAAAATTCACCCTTTACTCATCTGTACTTGCAAACTATCATGCCATCTCCAACTTTGCTTTCTTCTTCAAAGTCCTTGAATGCTTTCTCACATTGTTGAGTTTTACTGAGATGGCAGTTTTTCTCCAGTAGCTTATATAGCCCACCTCTGCTCACCTGGTCAGTACCTTGAAGAGCTCAATGAAGGTAATATACAGTGTGTCCTTTGTTTTGTGGCATTTCTCTTGCAGCTGCTAGACTGAGATGATCATGTGAGTTGTAGATTGTCGAGTTCTGAAACCACACTGGAGATTTGGGACAAATCTGCAGAATAGAAAGGGAAACATGGGCAAACATATTTACCACAAAGTTCAGCCAGAGGATGCCACAATAGTTGCTGCAAATGCTATGATCACACTTATCCTTAAAGTTCCTGTATCCAGCATTGATACATAAGTTCATGCAGATGCTACAGAGGTGCTAAGTTCTTACACTTGATGTGTTCAGGCATCATAGCTTCAATGCTACTTTGCTAAACTCTCCCATTATGTTCAAAATCCAGCTTTTCCATGATGGGCAGGAATGAAAGATGTCTGGCACTGCATAGCGACAGTGTTTTCCTTGGAGCGTTACTCAAGAGCTATGATGAGATCTGCCTGACCAAAGAGAAGTAGGCAGGGCATGCTTGTGACTTTGTTGTTACAGCGGATATCCTGATCGTGCAGGTTGCAAACGAAAGCACACTAATGGCTTTGCAGGCATGACATTTAACAGAAAAAATGGTATCACAGTCAATGCACGTTATTTCTACTTTGTGAATATATGAATGGTGTGCAACTGTGTTTAGGATATCATGCCGGTATACTGGCAAGAAGCATAATGTCTTTATGGTGTGCCAGACCACTGTTCTCTCAGTACTTCAGCCATCAAATCAAAGCAGAGGGTGACTGCTGGACAGCGTGGGCTTGGCTCATGCATAGCCAACCCACCAAAGTAGCATGCATATAATGAGAGCTGTGCTGTCACATGAAACATCATTGAGCAGACCACAGGATTGTTTAAGCCAAGGTTCTGCAGCTTGAACCACTCTAGATGAACCCTGCAGCACTCATCAATGTTCACACAACATTATGGCCTGCTGTATCCTGCATAACCTCAGCAGCATGAGGGCTGGGTACTTTTCACCAGGGATTTGACAAACCCCTCAGCAGGAAGAGAAAGGAAATAGGCAAGTAACACACTCCCTTTCCAACTGGGCTATTTATCATAGAATGATAGAATCCCCACAGTATGGAAACAGGCCTTTGGCCCAACAGGTCCACACTGACTGCCTGAAGAGCATCCCACCCAGACTTATCCCTCTACTGTATAACCCTGCATTTCCCATGGCTAATCCACCTAGCCTATGTATCCTTGGACAATGCGGTATGTGTGTGTGTGTGTGTGTGTGTGTGTGTGTGTGGCTTTAGTGTTTGATTATTTAGAGGTATTTAGAGGGGTAAACATTTTGTTGCCAACTGAGTGTGTTAATCAGTTTAGCATTTTCATGGAATATGTTTTTATTTCATATAAAGTGTAATATTTGTTCAATTATTAAAGAAATCTTGTCAATAGGTCTTTTAATTCTAAACCTAATGGAAGCTGTCTTACCTCTCTGGGCCTAGGACCAAGGATGTGACTGGATGTCTGCAGGGCATCCTGAAGTGGGAGGGTGAACAATTGAAGATACCAGTTCACATTGGGATCAAGAGCACAGGTAGAAGGAGGGGTGAGGTCCTATAATAAGAATTTAGGGAGCTAGGTAGAGGATAAAAAAGCAAGACCTCAGAGGTTGTAATCTCTGGATTAGTCCTGGTACCATGTTCCTGTGATTATAGGAATAGGCAGATAGAATAAATGAATACATGACTGAAGACTTGGAGCATGAGGGAGGACTTTAGAACTTAAAAACCTAACGAACTCTTAAAAATGTCAAGGAAACGCAAACAGGTGAAACAGGTGAAGAGAAAAAAATCTGATAAAGTATTTTATAATTATTTTAAAAATTCACCTTTTATTGTATATGTGCATGCACATTTAAAAAAAAGTGAGCATGTGCAGTCAGAACCTATTATCCAATGATTTTGTGAATGATTTATTGTCACATATACCTTGAAGATACAGTGAAAAGTGTTTTGTTGCCACAATCCGACACCATTTTAGTTACAATAAGGACAAAAAGAAGTTACTTAACTAAGAGTTAATCATCTGTTCAAATTGGCATCTTAGTGGTTCGTGTCAATAGACACTCTCTCTTCCAGAATGTATTTTAAAAAAAAAGGGACCACTGCTAGGCAATAGCAAGACTGCAGACATCAACTCAGTGTTATCTTTCAAAGCAAATTCCTGTGTGGGATACATGGAGTCACATGTGTACGAGTGTCAAGGAAACTTCAAAGAGGGAAATACGTAACAGGGGGAGATTGTGATGCAGCTATCTTACCCCTCTTTATAAACTAATGTTGTTGTGACCAACTGAGCATTGGGCGAATAAAGAAAAGGTACCAGATCATCCTTCCTCACTGGGAGCTTAATGATTTGGGGAATCTGCATGGAACTGTGATAATGCAAGGGATCTGGTCAAAACAGTACAGAAGCAGTCTTTGAGCTGGTGACAAGAATCTTCTCTCTCTCTCTCTCCCCTTTCTCTGTCCTTCTTTCCTCTCTTGCTCCCTCTTTACTCTTTCTCCAGTTTGCTCACCTTTTTCCTGCTCACCCTGCTTTTTGCTCTCTTCCTTCCCCTTCATTTTACCTCTCAACCCCTCCGAACCCCCTTTTTTTTCCTCCCCTTCCCCCTCTCCCCTTCCCCCTCTCCTTGTCCCTCTTCCTGTCTCACCCCTTTTCCCTATCTCCCTCCTCACCTGAGCTTGCCAAAAGCCTATCCCAGAAGGCAGCAATCAGGCTTCAGTGAATGACCATGTTACATGATAATTCGATGGCAGTGGATTCATCCAGTTACCAGTCTGAGTGGCCAGATAGATGAAGCCATTGAAGTTGTTATGGCTCAGATGTATTTGCTACATTTCCTGTCATGCTCTATCAGTTATTTGTGCTCAATTACCAGCAGTGTTGTTGCGAAGGAAATGGAATTTTACATATTTTCCTCACCTGTTCATAGATATTATGACACATGTCCAGAGCAGGTGGGACTTGAAGCCAGGCCATCTGGCTCAGAGGTAGGGACATTACCACTGTGTCACAAGAGTCCTCCTCAAAAGGGACTAATATCAATTGGTCTCTGTTGGTCTCATAATGAGTATGCCCCATGTTGATAACATCTATTTAATTTTAGCAAGTAAAATATTATGATGGTTTTTTTTTGCTTCAGTCTGTGAAGTCAATTGTTTTAAAATAACTAAGTAAACATCATCCCAAGGCACATTTCTGTCCAATGTTTGAAAGTAATTCATATTTTACTGCAATCATTGTATATGATAGGCACTTTGTTCATCAATTATACCATAAATCAGTTGTGTAATGTACTTAAAAAATAATCTTGCAAAAAGGACACAAGGGCTTTCTTAAAATGTTTAAAGTATGTTAGATGTCAGTTTACTGAACAATCTGATTGTACTATCCACCTTGCAAAGAGAACATGACCAAACAATTTGGGTATTTTGAACAAGGGCTGATATATAATACAAGAAAATTATATTAATATGAAATTTAAAAACAAGAGTAGATGGAGGTGAATAATGAATTAAGTGTGGAGGCTTACTGAAGTCACAAGCTTTATCTAACCTTCTGATCTTGTTCAGGTAAACTGTTGTATTTGATTAAATTGGAGATATTTATAGTGAGATGTAGTGATTGGAACCAGGTTTGTCTTATCGACTACAAGATCCTTGACTGGGGTTATTAATCTGGGCCAATCAGGGAGCCCTGGTTGACAGGTATAAACAGGAAGTTCAGAGTCTCCTCAATTCAGGGGCTGACTGTGAGCTGACTGGTCATAGCCAGTGTACTGCCCACATGTAAATAAAGGGTGATTTGATGATGGGATACCAGCCTCTGTGCAGTTATTCTGTTAATTTTAAAATAAACAGAAAACATTGGGTAACAATGATGTTTGGAGTCTAATGGAACAATGCCTTCTGCATTTAGATCTATTATGTTTTTGAAGAGAAGCCTGACTGTGGTGATAAAATATAGCATAAACTTAATCTTATATGATTTCTAAAAATAAATGTGATTTTCTAAAACTAATGGCAACAAAGACCTTTGAAAAAAAAAAGTCTCCCATTATGTTCCCCCATATATTTCCAGTACCTGTTATTTGCAATATGCTGTTTAGATGCATTTAATTTAGAACATAGAACAGTACAGCACAGTACAGGCCCTTTGGCCCATGATATTGTGCAGATCTATTATCCTACTCTAAGATCAAACTACCCTGCATACCCTTCACATTACTATCCTCCATGTGCCTAGCCAAGAGTTGCTTAAGAGTCTCTAAAGCATCTGACTCCACTACCACTGTCAGCAGCACATTCCAAGCACCCACCATTCTCTGTGTAAAGAACCTACCTCTGATATCTCCCCTCTATCTTTCTCCAATCACCTTAAAATTATGCCCCCTTGTAATAGTCATTTCTGCCCTGGGAAAATGTCTCTGACTATCCACTCTATCTATGCCTCATCATCTTGTACACCTCCATCAAGTTATCTCTCATCCATCTTTGCTCCATTGAAAAAGGCCCTAGCATCCTCAACCTTTCCTCATAAGACCTGCCCTCCAGTCCAGGCAGCATCCTGGTAAATCTCCTCTGCACCCTCTCTAAAGCTTCCACATCCTTCGTATAATGAGGCGACCAGAACTGAACACAATATTCCAAGTGTGGTCTAACCAGGGTTTTATAGAGCTGCAGCATAACCTTGTGGCCCTTAAACTCAATTCCCCTGCCAATGAAAGCCAACACACCTTACGCCTTCTTTACAACCCTATCAACTTGGGTCACAACTTTGAGGGATCTATAGACGTGGACCCCAAGAACCCTCTGTTCCTCCTCTGTTCCAGCACACGTGTGGAATGTGCTACCGAGAATCCTGCCATTAACCCTGTATTCTGCATTCAAATTCGACCTTCCAAAATGAATCACTTCACACTTTTCTGGGTTGAATTCCATCTGCCACTTCTTTGCCCAGCTCTGCATCCTGTCAATGTCCAGTTGCAACCTATAACAGCCCTCCACGCTGTCCACAACTCCACCAACTTTTGTGTCATCGGCAAACTTACTAACCCACTCTTCCAATTCCTCATCCAAATCATTTATAAAGATCACAAAGAGCAGTGGTCCCAGAACAGATCCCTGCAGAACACCACTGGTCACTGAGCTCCAGGCTGAATACTTTCCATTTACCACCACCCTCTGTCTTCTATTGGACAGCCAGTTTTGTATCTAGACAGCCAAATTTCCATGAATCCCATGCCTCCTTACTTTCTGAATGAGCCTACCATGGGGAACCTTATCAAATGCCTTGCAAAAATCCATATACACCACCTCCACTGCTCTGCCTTCATCAATGTGTTTTGGCACATCCTCAAAGAATTCAGTAAGGTTTGTGAGGCATGACCTGCCCCTCACAAAGCCATGCTGACTATTTCTAATCAAACTGTGCTTTTCCAAATAATCATACATACTATCTCTCAGAACCCTCTCCAATAATTTGCCCACCACAGAAGTAAGACTGTCTGGCCTGTAATTCCTCGGATTATCTCTATTCCCTTTCTTGAGCAAGGTAATAACATTTGCCACCCTCCAATCATCTGGACAGTGAGACAGTGAGAATGCAAAGATCGTCGCCAAAGGGGCAGCAACCTCTTCCCTCGCTTCCCATGAAACCTTGGTTATATCCCGTCTGGCCCAGGGGACTTATCTGTCCTCATGTTTTTAAACTTTCTAGCACATCCTCTTTCCTAACATCAACCTATTTGAGCATATCTGCCTGTTTCATGCTGTCCTCACAAACGTCAAGGTCCCTCTCACTGGTGAAGACTGAAGCAAAGTATTCATTAAGGACCTCCCCTACCTCTTCTGACTCTGTGCACAAGTTCCCTCCACTTTCCCTGATTGGCCCTACCCTCACTCTGGCCGTCCTCTTATTCACCACATAAACATAGAATGCATTGGGGTTTTCCTTGATCTTACCCGCCAAGGTTTTCTCATACCCCCTTCTAGCTCTCCTAAGTCCATTCTTCTGTTCCTTCCTGGCTACCTTGTAGACCTCAAGAGTCCTGTCCATCCTTGCTTCCTCAACCTTAAATAAGCTTCCTTCTTCCACTTGACCAGATGTTCCACATATCTTGTCATCCAAGGTTACCATCCCCTTCTTGCCTCAGTGGGATGAACCTATCCAGTACTTGTAGCAACTGCTCCCTAAACAACCTCCACATTTCTGTCGTGCATTTCCCTGAGAACATCTGTTTCCAATTTATGCTCTGCAGTTCCTGCCTAATAGCGTTGTAATTCCCCATCCACCAATTAAATACTTTCCCATATCATCTGCTCCTATCCCTCTCCATGACTATAGTAAAGGTCAGGGAGCTGTGATCACTATCACCGAAATGCTGTCCCACCAAGAGATCTGACACCTGGCCTGGTTCGTTGCCAAGCACTAAATCCAATATGGCCTCCCATCTAGTCGGCCTATCTACATATTAAGTCAGAAATCCTTCCTGGACACACCTGACAAAATCCACTCCATCCAAACTATTTGAACTGAGAACGTTCCAGTCTATATTAGGGAAGTTGAAGTCACCCATGACAACAACCCTATTACTTCTGCACCTTTCCACAATCTGTCTCCCAATCTGTTCCTCAGTGTCTCTGTTGCTTTTGGGGGGTCTATAGAAAACTCCCTATAAAGTGACTGCTCCTTTCCTCTTTCTGACTTCCACCCAATTTAACAATACAAGACCATTTTTATGCTACACGAACATACATTTAGCCAATTGTAATATGTCTGCTACTTCTGTCTTTCACAATTTTTCTGTGTTCAGCATTCAGTAAATGCTGCTAATGAACTATAGTTTTACAAAGATTTCAGACTTCTATTTGTTGATTAAATAGTTAATTGATACCCTAACTTACATTTTTAAAGTAATAACATGCAAATATAAATCTATTTTTTGCAAACTTTGTTTAGCACAGTATTTTTATTGCATTGTGAATGAAATTAATCTCTTGACAAAATGATAACCATTATAATTTCCCTTTTTTGTCAGACTAATGTTACTATTGTACGATATCATGGCAGTTTCGGCTGCATTCACTTGTGGTATCAGGCACAAAATGGAACTGCACTAGATGGCTTGGATTTCACCTCTATGTCCGGACAATTAGCATTTGAACCAGGAGAACAGTCAAAATGGATTTCATTTGATATACTTGATGACAATATTCCTGAAGGCCCTGAACACTTCTTCATAAACATTCTTAAAGTAGAGTTTCAGTCAGACAGGTAAGTAATCAAGTGACAATTTGGCACAATTTTAAAATTGAGAGATTGGCTTTTAATACCCATCGAGTGTGCCAAGGGAGTCTTGGAATTCTATTACCACTAACAGCTTTTGAGGAAATGGCATTTTAAGCCAAAACAATTTCAGTGAATTTATACATTAATAGCATACATTTGGCAGCTCTTGCAACCATACTTACTTTATTGAATCAATGTAAATGAGTTTCATCTAAGATATGATTTTTTTTTCATTTCTAGAGCAGTCAAAATGCCATTTCAGGACTCTATTGTATTTGCCTTTCAATTAAACCAAAAGGATTCAGTTGCTTGTTCTTACAGAAAGCTGAGGGAGCAGGTTGTGGAGTTTTGCTTGAGCACTAACTTTCACAGCTGCCAGTGGGTGGATTAATTTATCAGCAATTTTTGGGCCTTTGAAAGTTTTCATGCCACCCACTTATAACTAACGTTCATGCCGAACAGAAGCTTTTCTCGTTGAAAGCAATCCTTCAAAATGCTGAATAGGCTGAGGTTAGAGATGAAAAGTTTGAGGCTCTTGAGAAAGCCATGAGAAGTAATTACAGTGATATAAAAATGCTAATTCCACCTTTCAGGATTGTCTTGTTGCCATTTTAAAGGCAACAGCATTCATGCACAGTGCAGCTTTTTAAAAAGGGTATAAGAAACTATAGTTGTATTGTTGGTTGCAGAATATCCACCTTCACCTTCATTTAGGGCATGATTCATATAAAGTTGAATATTGAAAGCTTTGTTGACCTCATTACATGAAGAAATGGTTACTCTCAATGCTCAAGGCTTTTCTTTGAATTCTGAATGTTGTGGAGTGTCCAGAGAGAAGAACGTACTTTCAGGCAGTTCCCAGAAAGAGTTAAACAAATTCCTTCTTGAACTTTTCTCATCCAGACCTTTCCAATGACACAGCTTTAGTGTTGTTTTTGATCCAAACGTCAGTTCCTTCTCCGTCCAGAGACTTCCCTAATTTCCAAGCTTAGATGTTGAACACAGGATTAAATCAGTAGTGTTTCTATAGAATTTATTACATGAATTACATTGGAACCTCTTCCAGGTCTCTCTGTGCAATAATTGGTTCAGGGAATAATCATCATTACAAAATGTAAAGTCCTTCCAGACATTGCATCCTCAATTTTAAGAATATAAAAGTACAAGAAATAAGAACAGAAAAAGGAACTCCTTCACTCTCTCCCTCACTCCTTCACTCTCTCCCTCACTCCTTCACTCAGTCCCACCCTCCCGTCCAAATGGACGTGCTGACAACAGGCTAAACAGGACCAGTATCAGACTTCTATTTTTCAAGTGGTCACTCAGATTGGCCAGCAGCTCTCGTGGCTTCAGCTGCACCAGAACACAGTAGTGGACACTGCAAGGATTGCAAGGAAGTTCAGAAGGAAGAGGATTTTGTTTCCTAGAGACAAAGTTCAGGGATTTAGGGTGGAGAGGTATTGGATAATTGGAAGAGGAGGACAGGGTAGCAATCCAGTTTAAGAGGAACAGAGTGTGGGTGTCAGTGGGTGCCCCTGATGTGCACAGGGTACCCCCTGAATGATGTGCCTGCCCACGCTTTCTTATCACCTATGTGGAAAGGTCAACAAACACCTCTCAGAAACAGTCTTTGCACTCTGGCTGCCTGGTTTTAACCAGTGTTTTATATCAATAGAGACAGAGTGTAAACCCACAAGTTTGACAAGTAAGATAGTGAATCTAAAGGGTCTCTCTCTATTTACAAAATCTAGTACTTTTCTTGCAATTAGTATTTAACTTAAATTTACTGTTTTGAGTTGTAATTTCTTGCAGGCATGGACAAGATTAAATAGATATTTTCTAATCAGCCTGTTCAAAGATGTTATTACACATCTCAGCAGCAGATGGGACTTGAACACAGATCTCCAGGCTCTGAGATCAGGGCGTTTGGGTAGGATTAAATGAGTTCAGTGCTGGAGAGCAGATTGGCTTAGTTAATTAAGTAACGGGTCTAAAAATTAATTGGTTTCGTAGAATTCTGTATATGCTGGGGAACTCACTCATCTAAAGCTCATAAGTATAATGCGGAAGGTTAGGCTGCTGTTGTCATGGAGTATAGCTGGAAGAGTGCAAACTTGAGAGATTGCAAGTAGGGAATTTGTTTAGGATTGGAGGGAGGTGGTCTTTTCTTTTTCTAACTTTGTCAGCTTTCAGGAAAGCAGTGTTTAAAAAGTTGCATGAGAAACTACAGGGAGGCAAAGGGAGTTCAAATCTATGAATCCCCCTCACCCCTAAATCACATTCAGATAAAATTAAAGGTAACATCACAGAGAAACAGGCAAGTTGATTGGTTGTTGAGTACTTGCTCATTTGTCTTTTCTTTTAGAGCTCAGGAAATATATTAGTAATTGTAAGGATTCACTAGGATTAATAATGTTTGAATTTATAACCAATTATTTGGGACACAATATGGATGGCAGAGCAGCTGACATGTTATGAATGTAGGATTTGGGAACTCTTGGATGCTAATGTGTACTCTCAACTAAGAGTTGGTGAGTTACAAACACAATGATGCAGCACAGAGTGGGAGGGTGGGGTTGGGTAGGTGGGTTGCGGGGGGAGGGGGTATGGGGAGAAAAAACTATCCCCTGGATATTTCATTCCACTCCCTTTTGGATACATAGTGATTGTAACAAGGTCAGCCAGGTGGATCTCACAGAATGAGTTTCTCTGATTGGGGCTGTTAATCTGGTCCAATCAGGGCACCCTAGCTGACAGACGTAAACAGGAGTGGCAAACTTCCTGTTGGCTTTGACAGCCAGCTCTGAGGGAGCTGGACCAGTGTCAAGGACACCCTCCATGTGCAAGTAAAAGGTGACTTGGTGATGGGATACTGGCATCTGTGGAGTCATTTCAGGATATGGTCTTCTGTTTCTCTGTTGTGTGACTCTATTTGAGTAGTGATCAGGGTCAGGTGGGTTATGAATGAGATTGGTTTGGCAACCCAGGAGGTGAAGGAGCCTTAACCTTTACAATTATCCATTAGTTTTGAGGTAGTTTCAGTTTATTTGAATGAGAGTGAAAGCTGCAGGATTGATGAGCTAACTGACTGTGGCCAGGAGGCCATTTGCATGAAGGTGGTGGATGGGATTGACAATGTTCTCTGCAGCAAAGATGGAGCACCCACAAGGCTGTGTACCCTGCATGGTGCTAGAGTTTGGAAAGTCTGCTCGAAGTTTGAGTGGAATGTGCATAGAAGGGAAATTTCTAGTGGTCATTTGGAAGTACCAATCACATAGGCAAGATATGGAAAGAGGTTCTACATACACAGTGAGGACCTAAGCACCAAATGAAAATGCAGGAATATATTAAAATGGTGGAAACAAGGGATCAAATCTGAGAAAATCTCTCTTGAATTAGAGACAATTTAAGAGAAGTACATTAATGAGAAATTAACATACAGATAATGACATTGAAGGATTGAGGATAAAAATCCAAGAGCAAGTCAACAGACACAGCTTGAGGTTACAGAAATAATAAGAGGATATAGATGAAGGCTCTATATTCAGCACAAAACAAATGAACTGATATTATAAAGCAATAAAGAAATCATAATCTAATTGCCATTACAAAGACATGGCTGTAGGAAGATTCGGGCTATGATGTGAATATTGAAGAGTCTGTGTCATTTAGGAAGGACAGAATGCTAGGAAAGGGTGGATATTAATTAATCATGGTATAAGCGCAATAAGAGAGATGATCTATGTTCAGCAAACCAGAATGTAGAGGCAGTTTGGATAGAAATGAAAACAACAAAGGCAGAAGGTTAATTGTAGGAGTGAAGTATAGACCCCTAATTGTAACCACATAACAAGATGGAGTAAGTAGGAAGAAACAATGAGAGCATGACAGCTAGATTGATAATTAAAAGAGTTTTAAACTTCAGAGACTGGAAAATCCAGATGGACCAAAGTTGCCTACAAGAGGAGCTCATAGAATGTGTTTGGGATAACAAAGTGTGGAGCTGGAGGAACACAGCAGGCCAGGCAGCATCAGAAACTTCTGAAGGGTCCCGATCCGAAACGTCAGCTTTCCTGTTCCTCCAGCTCCACACTTTGTTATCTCTGACTCCAGCATCTGCATTTCTTGCTATCTCGTGTGTTTGGGATAGTTTCTCTGAATAGCATGTTCTGGAGCCAACCAAAAAGAAGCCTGTACTAGACCTGATGTTGTGTAACAAGTTGAGATTAATTAATGACCTCATAGTGAACATGCTCCTTGATAACTGCGATTATAATGATTTGAAGTTTACATTCAGTTGCGAGAGGGAGGGGGAGGGGTCTAGAGGGAGGAAGGGAGAGAAGTGGATCAAAGACTACTATATTAAACTTAGATGAGGGCAATTATGAGGTCATGAAAGCAAAGCTAGATAAAGTGAACTGGCATATTAGGTTAAAGGATAGATCAATAAAGAAGCGATGGTAGATGACAGGGGAGGCGATGGCCTAGTGGTATTATCGCTGGACTGTTAATCCAGAGACCCAGATAAAGTTCTGGGGACCTGGGTTCGAATCCTGCCACAGCAGATGGTGGAATTTGAATTCAATATATATCTGGAATTAACAATCTAATGATGACCATGAATCCATTGTCGATTGTTGGAAAAACCCATCTGGCTTACTAATCCCCTTGAGGGAAGGAAACTGCCATCTTTACCTGGTCTGGCCTACATGTGACTCCAGATCCACAGCAATGTGGTTGACTCTGAACTGCCCTCTGGGATAGGCAATAAATGCTGCCTGGTCAGCGATGTCCTCATCCCATGAATGAATAAAGGAAAAAAAAAATGTTAAAGAGGATATTTCAGAATACACAGAATAGATCACTTCCAATGAGAGGAAAAAAAATAAAGGGGATGACCCACTTTCTGTGGTTAACCAAATAAGCTAAAGGTAGCATCAAACTTAAAGCAAAAGCATTTCATTCTGTAAAGATGGCTGACAGGT